CTGATTTCTTTACTGTAGACTTGTAGTATAACCTGAAGTCTAAGTCTTGTAACATAATTGATCCAGATTTGTTTTATTTCATATGATTGCATTCTGTATGCCAGATTTTTTTTTTCTGGTTCTGTATGAAATGAAGAGTGGAGATTCCATTGAATCTGTAGATCATTTTGGGTAGTTAACAATGTTGTTTCTTCCCAAATATGACCATGGTACATTCTACCATTTGTCAAAGTCTTCTGCTATTTCTTTTCCTCAGGGTTTTACATATCTCTCTGTAGTGATTCTTCACATCCTTTGTTAGGTATATTTTCAGATATTTTATTTTCTTTGAAGCTACCGTGAAGGGTATTGTGTTTAGATTTGATATTCAACTTGACTATAATTGGCATATGTGATGGCTAATGATTTTGTGGACATGATTTTACTTCCTGAGATGTTATTGTATTTTTTTTCATTACTTCTGGGAATATTTTTGTTGAGCCTCTGGGGTTTTCTAAGTATAAGATTATGTCATCAGCGATGAAGAAGAGTTTGTTCTCCTCTGTTCCAATTTATTTACTCTTAATGTCCTTCTATATCCTGATTACACTGGCTAGGACATTCAGTACTGTGTTGAATAGTACTGGTGATAGTGACCATCCTTGTCTGTTTCCAGTCCTGAGTAGAATGCTTTCAGTTTTATGCCATCCAGTATGATATTGGCTGTGGGTTTGTTATAGATGGCTTCAATTAGTTTAAGAAATCTATGCTTATTTTCTCGAGTGTTCTTTTCAAAAAAGAATGATGAGTTTTTTCAAATGCTTTTTCTGCATCTATTGACAGGATCATGTAATTTTTGTTTTTACTTCTACATATGTGGTAAATTACATTTATAGATTTCCATATGTTGAACCAAAGTTGCATCCCTGGGATAAAGTCCACCTTATCATGATGCACAATTTCTTTAATGTGTAGCTGTTTTCTGTTTGCTAGACTTTTATTGGATATTTTTGTACCAATATTCATTAATGACATTAGTTTATAATTTTCTTTCTTTTTTGAATCCTTTCCTGGTTTTGGTATGAGGACAATATTTGCTTTGTAGAAGGAGCTGGAGAGAGTTGCTTCTTTATCATTGTTTTCAAATATGTTCTACAATATTGGCCTGAGCTCTTCTTTGAATATTTTGTAGAATTCTGGTGCAAAACCATCTGGTCCAGGAGTTTTCTTTATTTAAATATTTTTCACTGTTGTAATTTGGTGATTGGTGTGTTCAAACTTTCTAATTCTTTCTGGTTGCTTTTAAAGAGGTGGAGTAATCCTAGGTATTCATCAATTTCCTCCACATTTTCAGATCTCTTGGCATGAATTGTTTTGTATTATTCAGTGATTATCTTTTGTCTTTATGTAGTATCTGAGATTTTTTTCTCTTTCATTTTTGATTGAGGTTGTTAGAGAACTTTATTTTCTCTTTTCAGTTAATCTGGCCCAGAATTTCTGAATTTCATTAATCTTTTTAAGGAACAAACTTTTTGTTTTGTTGAGATTCCCAGTGGTTCTTACATCCTCAGTTTTATTTAATTATGACCTAATTTTGGTTGTTTCTTTTCTTCTGCTAGATTTGGGATTGGATTGCTCTTCGTTTTCCAGTTCCTTGAAATGGTTCACTAGGTTGTTGATATGTGCTCTTCCTGTTTTTTAGACATGGGCATTTACTGTGATAAATTTCCCTCTTAGGTTTTGATAGCTTTATGGCTTCATTGGCATTTCATTCAAGAAATCTAAAGATTTCTTTCTTTATCTCCTCCTTGAACGAGCTATTTTTCAGCATAAGGTTGATTAGTTTCCATGGCTTTTTGTGGTGATGAAGATTTTTGTTGAATTTAAATTGTATTTTTATTCTGTAATAATCTGAAAAAAAAACACAAGGTACAATTTATACTCCTCTAAATTTGTTAATATTTGATTTGTGCCCTATGTTATGCTTGATTTTGGAAAATGACTCATGGGATGAGAAAAGAACATATACTCAGAGTTATTGGGATGGAATTTTCTGTGTATGTGTGTTAATACCATCTGTTCTAAAATCCTGTTTAAGTCCATTGGTTCTTTGTTTAGCTTGTGTATTCAGGATCTGTCTACTACTATCAGAAAGGTGTTGAGTTCCCTAGTAATTATGGTATTACAGGACATCTTATTGTTTAGAAGAATTAGGGTTCATTTTATGTATCTGGGAGTACTTAAATTGGGTGCATAGATACTTAGAATTGAAATGTCTTCTTGTATTGTTCCCTTAACCAGAGTGTATTGTACATATTTGTCTTTCTTTACCTTTTGTTCATTTTAAGCTCAAGGAATCTACAAATAAGATGGTGATTTCTGGTTTTTACTGATTTCCATTTGCCTGAAATAGGGGTTTTCATATAGTTCACCATGAGTATTATTTCCTCCTTCAAGGTTAGGTGTGTTTCCTAAATACATCATATACCTGCCTTGTGCCTTTTTATCCAGTCACCCAGGCTGTAACTCTTCAGTGGAGAATTCAAGTCATTCACAGTTTCTGAAAGAATTGATAAGTATGGTAGTGTTGTATTCATCTTATTTTATGAATGTCTGGTGCTTAATTTTATCACTTGTTCCATTTTGGAACTTAGGCTTTGTTCTTTACTTTTTGGGTGTCTTTACTTTGCTGGTGGTCCAGTCTAATGGCCAGTGTAAAGTAAAAGTCTGTGCTTCCTGCAAGTCTGATCTTATGGAGAATTTCCATGATGTTTTATTGTCAGTAAAATGTTTTATTTCTTAATCGAATATGGAACTTAGTTTATCAGGATACAAAATCTTGGGCTGAATATTGTTTAGTTTAACTTCTGAAAGTAAAGGTTAAAGACAGATAATCGTGCTTTATTTTATTTTTTATTTATTTATTTTTTTTGACCAGGGCAGGTTTGAATGCACCACTTCCAGCATATAGGGCCAGGGCCCTACTCCTTTGAGCCACAGGCACCACCCAGATAATCATGCTCTTTTGGCTTGAAAATTTTCTACTGAAAGTCTGCTGTCATCCTGATATTTTTCACTTGTGGGTAAGAAGTCACATAAGCCTGGCTGCTTATGGATTTATCTTTCATTTTCACTTTGGCCAAGTTAATTACCACAGTCTAGGAGATGCTTTGTTTGAAACAAGTCATCCTGGGGTTTTGAAACTTTCATATATATGAGTCTCTGGGTCTCTTGCAATGCTTGAGAAATTCTCCAACATAATGTCTTGAAGTTGAACTTCCATGCTTTTAGGACTCTTCTCCTTCAGGAATCTCTGTGATCCACATGTTTGATAGTTTTTTTGTAGGCTCATATCTCTTTTTTCTTCTATTTCTGAGATTCTTCTCCATGTTGTACTCTATTGTTATGACTTTCTACTCTGTTTTGAATCTCCTTCAATGCCTCTTTTGGTTCCTTATGATCTGCTATATCCTTCCTAATTATACCCAGATCCTTCATGATTTTGACTTTAATTTCATTGATTTCTTGAGAGAATTTTGGACTTACTTTTGGATTTCTTTTTCTAACTTTTCTTTAAGCCATTTATCTTATTTATCATCCATATTATAGATTCTATTTCTTTCATTTCAACAATTTCTCTATGGTTGGTATTTTCAGCTGTATCTCTCTTGTTATCTCTCTTAGGGGGTTAATATTCTCTGACTTTTTATGGTGCCAAGGTTCTTTTTTTTTTTTGAAGTTTTTGGCCAGGGTTGGGTTTGAACCTACCACCTCCGGCATATGGGGCTGGCGCCCTACTCCTCTGAGCCACAGGTGCTGCCCCAATCTTGCTGGTTTTAAGAAGAAATACTTTGGGGTGGTGCCTATGGCTCAGTTAGTAGGGCACCGGCCCCATATACCGAGGGTTGCCGGACGTTGTGGTGGGTGCCTGTAGTCCCAGCTACTTGGGAGGCTGAGGCAAGAGAATCACCTAAGCCCAGGTGTTGGAGGTAGCTGTGAGCTGTGATGCCACAGCACTCTACCGAGGGCAATAAAGTTGAGACTCTGTCTCTAAAAAAAAGAACTACTTTGGGTGGACCTGTGGCTCAGTGGGTAGGGCGCCAGCCCCATATACCAAGGGTGGCGTGTTCAAACCCAGCCCTGGCCAAACTGCAACAAAAAACCAGCAGGGCCTTGTGGC